CATGAAAGGAACAAGCTGTTTCTAAGTAACTTAACTGCATCCCAGAACAAAGCTCAAGAATATTTATAAGAATATAAAAATATCCAGCACTCAACAAGGTCAAATTCATGATATCTGGCATCCAATCAAAAATTACTAGGCATGAATAACAGCTTAAAAATATGACTTATAATGAGGATAAAAATCAATCCATCAAAACTGATAGCTACAGAACTGAAACAGATGTTAGAATTAGCAGACAAGAGCCTTAAAACAGTTATTTTAACTCTGTATGCTTGAAGGTTATTTATATAATTTACCCATCTCAAATTTAATTTCTAAATAGGAAAATTATAGTACTTGAGATGGAAAAAAACCACTGGATGTGATAACCAGGGGATTAGACATTGCAAAAGGAAAGATTAGTCAACCTGAAGACATAGCAATAGAAATCCAAAGTAAACAGAAAATAATTCTAGATGAACAGATTATCAAAGACCTTTGCAAAAAATTCAAGAATCCTAATATAAATGTAATGAGAGTCTCTGAGAGGAGGAATTAGACAGAAATAAAAAAATAAAGAAATAATGTCTAGAAAATTTTTAAATTTAAGGAAAAATATAAACCTGTAGATCTATGATTGCAACAAACCCAAAGCACTAGGAACAAAATGAAAACAATACTAAGAAAAATCATGACCAAACTACTTAAAACTAGCAAGAAAAGAAACACTTAAAAGCAACCAGAAGAAAAAGATATATATGTATACTTATAGAGTAATTAAACTAAGTATGATTTCAGATTTCTCATCAGAAATAAAACTCACCTGAAATGATTCACAAGACTTGCCTTGGACTTTTGCTAACTTTCCACATACATGAGTTGGAACTAAGACATGAAGGAGAAACAAAATGTGAAGGACCTTTGTCCCCAAATTCAGGATACAGAGCTGGCTGACAATGCAGACCACTCACTGGAAACTGACACTGAGAGACAAATTAAAGGTTATGATTTTTTTCAAATGTTTGTATTTTGAGATTTTACTGATACTGCAGATTAGCCTTTTCTTACTTAACACAATTATTTTTAAGGCTGTAAATTTATGTCTTTTGCATTAAGCTCTTTAATTGAAAGTTTTTTCCATACAAAGACAGAATTGATCTAGAACTTTCTAGAAAGGCCATTGTTTTCTCAGTAATTTGAAAAGCTAACTTTTAAATTTCATATGGCTTGCATCTATTGGTGCCTTTCTGGGTTTTCTATTCCATTGTCTGTTTTTCTATACAGTGATATTCATGCACTAATTACATATGTTTATACAATGACTTGATATCTGGTAAGACATGTGCTCTTTTTTCCTCTTTCTTTAGTGTTTCTTGATTCTTCCTACACTATTGAATTTCTAAATAAATTTTATAGTCAGTTTTTTAAAAAATATATGATGTTATTGAGAGTTGCAGTTAGATCATTCATTTCAACCTGTCTTATTACAGACCAAGATGTGTAAAAGTATCCAGTTCTATAAGAAGGGTGGGTCTAGAGTGACTTTTTAATCTTCACAGCAGTAGTGGCAAGGGAGATATGATAGTAAAGGAGTGACAGTCTGCGAGCCTTGTGGGTGTCTCCGGGTCTGATATCCTCCCTTTCCCTCTAGGGGTTAGCCTCCATTCACTTAGGGTGCAGACCATGTCAATACAACTTCACCACTGTGACCACATTTGAGGGCATAGCAAGTGTGTATTCAGAGTTCCTTCAAGGCCTGGAGGAGACTAATCATTGTCAGATTCTCAGAGAGTAAATACCGTGCTTAATTTACTCTTAATCATTTCAGTCAATGCCTTGGCTAACTAAAGGGTTGAATTCTCTGTAACTCCATTTTAATAATATCTTGAGGAATTCAGACAATTTATTTTACATGTATCAATTTTTGAGTGCCTGCTTAGCTTTAGGTATTATTCTAACTACTGAATATTCAGCAGTAAGAGGAAAAAATATATATATGTATGTATATATATATATATATATATATATATATATATATATATGTGTATGTTTTTATGTCTAAAGAATCTGA